TGTTAACAAAAATGTTTCATGACGGGCGGATAGACAGAATTTCGAAAAATTTCACTTTTTGACGACGATCATTTAAGACTGACCTGAACGAATTGCTCTTTTAGAGGATTTGATGATCATTTTCTCCGAAGCAACCAATGGTCCACTTCATCAAATAAAAAATTTGGAGTCCGTTGTAAAGACCGCAGTCAGCTGTAGTTATCGTAGAATAATAAATACTGCCGAGATTTGTTCATTGACAAAATTGACATCCATTACAACACTTTTTGCTAAGCACTAATACACCATTCTAGATAGATCAGATGATATTGAAAAAATTCAAGAATGCTGGAATAGTATTTCGTTGCCACAAGTTTTACACAGTCTGCTATCGAAAACGTACTGCAAACTTTAACTACCAGGAAAAAATTTGAGGCCGGCTAAATATCTAGAGGTGATACTAGTTCCCAGACTGACCTGAAACCAAAACTAAAAAAAAAAGTGTAGGTAGCACGGATGCTGACCAGATATACTTACGTGAAAACATGGGTGCTGAAACCAGACAAGATGCATTGGCTATACTCCTCAATGGTAGTTAAGCACATGCAAACATATGCTTCTTTGGTTTGATTGCCAAACAAGCTTCGGCTTCTAACAAACTAAGCAAAGTGCAAAGACTTGCTTGTTTGGGAATAAAGGAGGTAATGGAAACCAATGCAGAACTGGAGACATTTTTGAACTACTTCCTATACATGTTATAATAACGAGGAAGACTGTACTAATCAGTCTGGAAAAATCATTGAGCTATAAGGGATCCAGCAAAATTGAAATTTTTGAATATGCGGAGAAATGAACATTAAACATGTTCACTGACCACACGACAAACTTCATAGTTAAGTTCACAAAGCATGAAGAGACTACAAGATAAACAGTCATCCATAAAACAGGCTTGGTAAAAACACTTGAGATACAAACGGGTCGAAAACCAAACGAGACTCAAAAGTTAAAGAGATGAAACTATCAAAGGGAGGTCAAATATCTAGAAGTGGTACTAGATCCCAGACTAACCTGGAGCCAACATTTAGACAGGATGAAAAGAAATGCGCAGCGGTAGCATTGATGTCAACCAGATGCACTTAAGGAAAGACATGGGAGCTGAAACCAGACATGATGTTATAACTCAATGGTAGTTGAACCTACGAGAACTTTGCTTATTTGGATTGGAGTCACCCTCGGATGGCCGAAGAGGCCACTCAATGAACGTTTTTTCTGAAGTACGAAAAATTACTCACTAGCAGCGCTAGTAGTTCGGTAGGGACAAACATTACCTAATCCTCATATAAACATATGATAAAGTACAATTAAAAAATAATGTTTTTAACAGATGCAAATGTTCCTGGAGCAAAACTAAAATTTGCAACTGTAAAGGATAACATTAAAACGTTGGCTTGCATGCCGTAATTTAAAAGTAACTGGAAAAAAAGTGAATTAATAGACAGGTTAGTATACAGACTCTAGTAAAAGAGTAGCGGTAGATTCAAACTGTAATAAATGAAATTAAAATAATTATGAATTTCAGATTTATTTCCGAGTGAAATATGAATTAAATATAGATGGTAATGAAATCTCCTCGAAGCATGTATCCATTTCTTACATCTAACCTCATTAATATGAGGTTTTATAAATGGTATATAAAATAATTTTTCTTCCGGATATCGATTATCCGACATACAATTCGCAAAACAGCAATGCTTTGTTGGCATTATACTAGCACAAAATAATGTTTTTTATCAGATTAATATTTTCAAATAATTAATTAATATTACGTAAATAACACTGTTTCACATGTATGTGAATACTTTATGTTTGTCCCTACTACTAGTGCTGCCTCTCGTGACACGTTCGCTGTACTATTCTCAGGAAAAAGGCTCATTAGACTCCAATCTATCCAGCAACCTTGAAACTTGTGGTTTAGCTCAGTCATGGTAAAACATAATTTTTTCTCCAATATTTGCAGGATCATTCTCCGTGATATTAGATACGATATTAAAATTTGGACGACTATATGTTACCAATTGAAATTCCAGGAAGAAAAAAAAATTACAAAAATGCCTATATGTTCCACGTTTGAGGGTTTTATATGTTCCATGTGAACACCATGTTGCTTGCTATCAATCACAGCTAAGGTGTCCGAATTTTGTCGATTATTAACCACGTTTCAATTATTTCGCTAACAGCTATGCCTCGCTCTTCTGTGTAAGTATTAGGTCGGTTCTGGTTTTCAAACTGTTGTTTCAGATCGTCTAAAATAGGTGAGTCAGTTGTAGACTGGAAGTTTTACACGATCCTATAGTCATTGTTTGTTAGGCAACTGTTTTCTGACCGTTAGAAACAGTCCAAACAGAGAACCACAACAGGACTATTGGTATTTAAAAAACTCCCATCAAAACTTTGAAAACATTAGTTACTATCACCAAGAACCCCCAAAAGTGAAGTTGACATTATTTTTCTTCACCTTGTGTAAAATGTTTAATTTACAAAAAAAACATTATAAACTTCGATTGAGCTAAATTCTCAACGATGTATTCTATCAATCGGAATGAGATGAAAAAAAGGAAAACTGTTTTTAAAAAGTGGAAATGGCCGACCTACTGAATATACTTGGACTACATTTCTTTGTCAGAACAAAACTGACTTAATTTTATTTAAAAATGCTTCAGAAATAACTTCAACCCTATTTTCCCATAAACAGAGTATTTGTCCAAAACAAGCACTTTTTCCCTCAAACACCTAACTGTATCTTATAGAAAGTTTTTTGTATATGCTGAATGTTAACTAATGTATTTGGTATGAGTGTCTCAAATAATAATTAGATATTCCTTTAAAATATCAGAAAATGTATCTTTAACGTATTTATTAGCTCTAAAATACATCATACAGACAGTATGGATTGAAACAAATCTAGACAATAAAATAATGAATATTTGAAGAATATATTAGTAAAGTTTTAAGTAATAAGAATATAAGTAAAATGAGTATATAATTAATAATATAAGTAATCAAACAAATAAAAACATTTGTGTAGGTCCATATCTCAAAGTAACATTTGAAAAAAATTATAAAAAACAGAAAAGGAGATATCAAAGTTGATTTGGGCTAAAACCTGGGATAGAAATATTAGTCATTAGTGTATATTGTAGAAGGTATTACTTATTAATAGCCTTCTTTCAGATTTTCTAAATTCTATTATCAATTTATCACTTCAGGACTGTTTTCCGTTGTAGTCTGTGAGAGGGTATTTCAACGAATTGTATCCTGGTATCATAATTATTCCGATTTAATGTTTTGAAAGAAGTCTGTTTTTTTTAGCATTTAGTAATAAGTGAAAGACATCAGAAGTTTACAGAGCTGTCAAACCATTGCCAGAATAATCTCCTTAAACAATACACCTTCATGTTATTTCAAAGAAGCCCAAAAAAATGCTTCCACAAATGGGAGATTCTTACTTAGAATATGCAATCTATAACAGTTTTTTACAGAGTTAGAAACTCTGTGTTCTCAAAAATATAATTCGATTTTTGAGGTAAAGCATTACCCAAAGTCACTGATAAAATAAAGTGTACATTCAAAAAATTATTTTGAGGCATGTATGTTTTATAACATATTGATGCTGTGCAAGTATATAGGGATATTGCAATGAAAATCCGTTGTGAAAAAGCAATGGTTGGGTTTGCCATTCAATTTGCCAATGGTGACTATTGGTCAAATAGTAGTCAGTTGATTAGTAATTTCCACTAATAAAACAACCCCTGTTGGTTTGATCCCAACTCTGAGACAACCTCCTTAATCGTCAGCTCGCACAATTTTTGTCTTTTGAGGATAATTTTAAAGAGACAACAGCTGGTTAACAGAAAACCCATTTATAAATCCACTTCAACCCACAGAGAATCCAGAAACTGCAATTTAAACAATGCTTGGATCTATGTTCAAGTGCACAAACAAAACAGTCAGCTGTGCGAGCATTTCAAGATAAGCCAAACCAAATAAATTCTGTTAGAAGCACTCCAAAGAAAATTGTCGGATTTATAGATAAGTTACAGTGATCCTAGAAAATTGTAGAACAATCAATTCTGAATGGAACTCACAGATTGATTTGTCATAAAAATGTGAGAGTTCATACATCATCTCACGCTAGTCAACATTTGAAGCAGCTACTAAAGGTGAAGTCCTGATTTGGCAATGAGAGAGTTACTTTTTCCCATACAATAATGATCATAGTTAACTATTTATTACCAGCGAGAATGGATTATGAGAAAATATTTTTAAAAAACGTTATCAAATTATGTAGATAACTATTGTCAATGATATATGCTTGCTTCTGTTCATTTCAGATACAAAAATAGCTACTCATACTGCCAAGCGATTAGACAGATGATTTCTCAATTTTCAGGAATCATAGAATTGAAACCATAAAATCATATGTGTTGTTTTGTTTATCATATCCCAGCATGGCTCATTAGTTTGTGAAATCAGGCCCCTGTTCATCAACAATAATAATAATATCACGCAATTATTCTTCCCAATAGTATTTCAAGTTTACTCATTGAATAAACTACTACAGTCAAATAATAAAAAAGGTTTTTGGTGTGAACTAAACAATCCATTTTACACAATGTACTTAATATATTGTTGAAATCTATTACATAATGAAAAATGTCACTAAGACATCAATACTACTAATGTCACGTTACAAATACACAGATTCACAACTTGAAATTGATAACCGCGAAATCAATTCAATACGTTCATAATAAAATATGTGGACAAAAAAATTAATCATCTGATGCCTAATTATATATCTGTACTCGATTTTCCAAAATGTATAAATGAAGTTCGTAAAAGTACGAATGTTTCACTGAAAATGGAAGTACCTTCTGTACGAGTTGAGATTCTTCTCAGTACAGTAATTAATTGATACCAGTCATATTTACAATTATGTTTACTTTACTTAATATGTATCTTCAAATAATACCTGACATATTGATAATCATGTTCCTTTCCTCTCGGCGGCTATCGTTGACCCAGTGACCTCGGTTGCTGCCAATGCTGCCAGTATCGCCTCGTGTGTTCTCACGTCCTTCAAATCTACTGCCTCGCTCGTAAGAGCTCATGAAAGTTTTTGGGTCCTAATGGTAATACGTTATATTATAGTAAATAACAAATGGTGATAGTAATATCACTAATTAATATAAGATAATAAATTTACAAATATTAGGTAGCATTTATATGTAACAATAAACTAATAATCGCGAACTCAGACCTCACTTTATTTCCACTTGTGGAAATCTGAATAAGAATAAATGATAATATATTGTATAAAGAGGAAACTCCCGTAATAATAGTATATGCCGTGTAATCTTCTCTGATAAGAGAATAAACTTTTAACAATGAAATTATTGGTACAAGTAATTTGAGAGTATATTGTTTCTTTCTTCCTTCTTGTCGTGGAATCACATGTTGAATACTTGCTTGCACAAGTTTAATTTTTTTAGGATTGTCATTTGTATGAGGACGGCAGTTGGTTGATAGAAAAAACTTTTTTTTCCATTTGTATTGGTATCCATTTCAAGCACTCCATATTGGTATTTCACAATTTCCAGTCAAAATCTTCTTTTCTTCCATGGATGTCAATGTCTTCCTTCGATTTCTCTCTCAAATTCAATGAGCGGTTTTGCCTTTTACAGTTTTATTAAACGTGTCTTTTTTGTAGTTTGCGATAACACTTTCAGTCAATTATAAAAAATACTATTTTTATTTATACCAAGGCAGTGCCTGTCGCAAAGTATCATATCAAAATATAAAATGTCATCGATCAATAACAGTTATGCCTCTACCGAAGTCTAATAAAAATATGAAATAAGGTAGCAGAAGTACTTCTAAAACCGAATATGGAAAGAAGTATCAAGCAGAAGACTCAAATTTGATTGCAAACTGAATCATTCTTTTGAGAGTTCAATAAAGTCTTGTGTAAAATATGGAGTAATGTTTCAAGTTGAAATAGATGGAATCGACAATTTCAATTCATAAGATAACTTTTGAGCAGCAATAAACAGAACTAATCTTAAGAGTTTGACACTTGAGTAGAATATATATTTCAAAAGAAAATATGAGTGTGAATCAGACTCAACACCGCTGCAATTGTCAGTTATTCGAAACTAGTTGAATCTGTTAAACTAAAAAGGAATGAATCTGATTTCAAATTATAAACGATGCAAGGAACAAAAAATTCTTTAAAATAAAACTAAATGAATCAAAGATTAGACCCAACATGGATAAAATTTTCGGTTACTCAAAACTAATGGAAGCAGGTAAAAGGAAAAATGGAAGAATCTGAATAATAAATGATACAAAAATATTGGAAGATACAAAAAATTATACCATAAATGGGATGAAATGATTCAAAATAATAATTGAAAATGGTAAACATAAATATACATACATTTTATTTGTGACAAAAAAAATCCAGGAAATTAAAAAATGTCAAACTAACACCACTTTTTCTTATTAAACTTTTTAGTGATGTTTCACATACCCTTATACAACATATTATTATTTAATCTTAGTGCTGAGTTATTATCGAGTAATTTTTTCCACGGATATTATATATACCGTTCTATATATTCATTCAGATTAAAAATGTACATGCACGTAACGAGTCAACAGAATCTCAATACACCATTGTAATATAAGAAATGATGCAATACTGGTACCATTTCGATATACTCTAATAAACTATTTGAAGCTTAATCATTTACTGATGCACCCACCGAACCAGTATTTCCTGTTGTTAATTCGAATATATGTAAATTCAAGCTACCCAAAAGTCCCATTTTGGTCAGCACCAGATAAGAAACATATTTTATACTCTCATCACACATGGGAATACATATAAGAGTTTCAATACATTACATGAAAAACATTATTTTGCCACTCTCCAATATGATATGAAATGAGAAATATGGATCGAGGTAAGATTCCATTTGGGAAAATGAAAGAATACATATGCGCTATTTGTGCATATAATCAATAAACTAATGAAAATGAACAATGTGGCTACTACTTTGAGCAACTTAGTTTTTAATGAGGAATTGCTTTTATTTTTGATATTCACTAATGAATGAAATTCCTATGTTACGATTTTGGGTCAATATTATTTCTGAATTTCATCAGCACTGTATTAATTATTCTGTAAAAATATTATATATTCCATTTTTTAATAGCTGGCAATTCAAATATTCTAGTATGGAGAACATCTGACAGCCATTCCCAATTTGAGATTGAATTTATAATTACGATATAAAATAATCAACTATGAAATGTGAAATGCCCAGTTTTTCAGTTATAAAAACAATTATTTGTGTAGTATACAATAATTGTAACAGAAGAAATTTTTCAATAAACAGCAGGTATACAGTGTAAACTTTCAAACGATGGTTCACAACATTTCAAGAAATTGCCGCCGACTCACGTTTGTATAGCTATCTATCACTCTTTGATGTATAGCGTACAAACTACCATCTAAACAAGTTTCTCACTGGTTAAATGCAAATGTTAAATGTTTGGTCTTCATTTGAAGAAAAACATTGTTGTATGCCATTTATCACTCATTTTACTGTGAAGTGTATTCTTTCATCGCCACAACTATATGCAATATGAAAATTTTGAAGTGTGATCACAAAAAATGTTACACAAAAAAATTTTAAATATCCCTTTTCCTGTTTTGATGGTGTAACGAATGTAAATAAATAAAATAAGAAGATAATTTTGAGGAGCTGGTTAAATCCCACATAGATATAGCCAACCCCTTGAAATTATTTTTCTATGGCTAATATCATTATTCACAAAAAAGTACTTGTTTGAAAATGTTTTGAAAAATGTAGGCACAAAGCTTAGGCAGAAGTGAAATAGTTTTTCCGAACTTCTCTATAGCCATAATACACCCAAAAATATATCACAGGCCTATCGGTTTACTGGAAGTAAGTTTATCACTGTTCAATAGAACATTTCATCAGAAATAAATTCAATGAAATTGAATATTTCATGAACTCACACATATGCTTTACTAATAAAAATTATTTTGGGAGCAAGCATGTTACTTTGTGTGAAAATAAGATTTCAGAAGAAATTATAAAATTGCTAAAACACTTACCATTGGGCCATTGTCTTCTAAACCTGAAAAAAAGATATTAAGTTATTTCTAAACAATATTGATAGCTTCAACAGTAGGAATAATGAGGAAGAAGGTCTTATTAAAACTGATAAAGATAGCACTACTCACTGGTGTGACTGTAACTAGTAGGTTGATCATAAGCTTGCTCTTGCTGATCAAGCATAGAGTCCAAATTATGAGCTTGCATGAAGAGGCTATTTTCCTGCTGACGCCTCTTCATATCTTCCTGTTGCTGCAGAATACGTGACTCCATCTCCTCCTGTGTCCGCCTCATCAGTTCTTCGGTCCTGAGTCGCTCTTCTTCAACCTGTCTCTGTTTCATTTCCCATTCTCGCTTCTGCCTCTCTTTATCCATCTCACGAGCTCTCAGCTGATCTCTCAATACCTCAGTTTCATGTTCGTACTTCGCATATTCCATTTGAGCCTCCAATTTTTCCCTCTCCAACTCCAGCTCTTTCTTGAGAGCCTCTTCTTTCTGTGCATGAAGATCATATAGCTGCTTCCAGCGGGTTCCATATTCATTTTCAAATGAACCAGGATTTGCAAATCTCGGACCCTGTTCTCTTTCTTTATGATAGTCCATGTTCTTTTTGGGAATATTTTTGTCTGGGTAACCATCAATATCATCAACTATTTCAAATGCTTCCACAATGCATGGTCGCAAAGACCCAGTAAGGAAATAGCATCCTTCTGAACACTTCCTAATAGCATTCAATGCAGAACCTTTACGAGCAAAATCTACAATAGCTTCTCCTGTAGGTTTTCCTCTATCATCAACACATACAATGGCTCGTTCAATCTATAATGTATAAATACAAAAGATGAAAAATCAAGTTCATTAGACTACTGACCAAATACTTACTTCTCCAAAAACTGAAAAAGCATAATGCAGAAGCTCATTGGAAACGAAAGGAGTGAGATTTTTCACTTTGATGGTAGCTGAACTTGGGGCAAATCTGATCTTCAAATTCCTAGACTTCAAGACTGTTCCATCCAACTCTCTCTTAGCTTTCTCAGCATTACTGTGGTAGTCGAGCTTTATGAACCCAAAGTTTTTATCTTTGTTCACAAATATTTCCGAAGTTTCTCCATATGGCTTGAACAATTCTGTGAGATCTTCCTCACTAACTTCTGACCCGATATTCCCAACATATAATCTGTTTCTGCCATTGAATTTCTTTTCAGCCATATCAATTATTGGTATGTCAAAGGTTGGACCTGACAACTGCTGCATACGTTCAAGGAATTTGTCATCAGGGCCTCTCATTCCAAATCGACCACGGCCTCCCATATCACCTCTTCCACCTCGTCCTCCTCTACCACCATCTCTCATGTTATCTCCGTCTCGACCATCATCATTTCCACCATCAACATCTTGACCATCCTGGTTGTTCTCATACTTCATCCTTCCCCCAAATCCACCCCCACGACCTCGCCTGTTTTCATAATTTCCTCTATTTCCACCCCCTTGTCCTCCTCTATTCTGTAAATTAAAGAAATGTTCAAAGAATACCCAAATATATTCTATGAATTAAAAATATGGTATCCTTCAGATAAATACTTTTGCAACTATAACTAAAATTTATATAAGTCTGGATAGGTTGGTATAACAAAACTTATACCTTCATATAGCCCATAAGTTTCAAAATCGATTTCAAGGATTCGTAAAAGAAATACAATACATAAAATTCACCTGTGTCTAAAATTATTGATTCATTACAAACCCATGGATTTACCTGCTTCATCAGAATATGACCTCATGACAAATTTAGAGACAATTTGATGTATCAAACAGAAACATACTATACTGATGTTGATGAAACTGAAATCGACAGTTTGGGCTATTTCATTTCTGTGTTGCACATAGTCTATTAATGCAGCACGGATATTTCTATCAAATAATATTGTCAGTCTGCTGTAACCTGATGATATATTCAAAGTGTGACAACTCATTTTAAAGTGAAACTCTTGTATCCTTAATGAATTTGCAATGAATATGTTCATGCTTTATTAGTACGTTTCTAAAATACCTTCTGATTTGTCTTCAGCTTTTGGAATGAAGGAACCATCAAAAATCACACGATAACATGTTACACATATAGATACCACAATGTATCGAGGAGTAGAAATTTTAATGTAACCAATTAAATCTAACTTGTGATCTAACCTAGCCAATACCCAATGCAACTAATCAACAAGGAACTTATTGTCTAATTTAAATTACTTTAAAGAAAATATTACTATTTTCAATGAGACAAAACCTAGTGGACAACAAAAACCGAAAATATATTAAATATTTGAAGGGTACAGGGGAAGAAGGCGGTTAGTCAGTAAAAATCCAAACGCCGTATTTTCACGCCATCTTGTAGCCAAAGGTCGAGTCTTTTTATTGGTCTATTCGTTTTGGGAAAGAATGCGTTAGTCAAGCGCTATAAACGTTCAAATATATTCAGTACCGGGCAATAACGCGGGATGTCCGTGTGGTACTATGCAAGAAGGGGGAATGTCCATCAAACAGCCAAAGTATATTCTACATGTACCCAAAAACTATCGGACACTAGGGCAGTGGCGAAGTATGTTCTTTCCTACACGTTTTTGTATACAACTTCCTGGAGTTCGACACTTAAACATATTTTGTGACTCTTGTGGAGGACAAAATAAAACTTGAGTCAATTAAAATGTCATTTCCGATAAGGGGGCATTCGTACATGTAGTGCGACAAAGACGTTGGTCTTATTAACAAAAAATCCCGAGCCGAACTTCCAACTGAATGGACAGAAGTATTTAAAAAAGCTAGGACAAAGCCATCACCATTTGACATTGTTGAAGTTACTCGTCAATCATTCAAGAAATGGACTGACCACTTTGCCACGAACTTTACAAAACCAAATGCCCCTTTCCATCTCGGCCTATTAGAGAAATGAAAGTTCTGAAAGAAGACCCACAACTCCTGTATTTCCGATCTTCCTGGTATGGCGCATGGGAATCTGTAGTTTTGGTTGACCCAAAGAAATGGAAGAAATATTGGAGAACAAACAGAATAGAAAGTGAATGCGAATTACCTATTGTAGCACAGGAAGGTATGTAGGATCACAATCATGATGATTTTTAGTGAAATATCTACTGTAGAATTTGTAGAACTTCTGCCAATATCCTCCAAGAAATACAGTAACCTTCAAAGTCTTAAAAAGTTTTGCCAGAAAGCTGCAGCTGATGAGTATTATAGCAGCCTGCCTCATGTAGATAAATAAGAAAGGAAAGTCATGACTACCGCCAAATAAGCCGAAAATGCAGGATTCGGAGGACACCAATCTCTTCCGAGGAAAACAAAAACTAATAGATCCTAAATGACTTATAACTATATATTCAGAATACTGTAACTATATATTCAAGAAATGTTCAAACTACAGGTATTCTAGTCAACAAATGATGAATGAACAAATGTTCATGATTGGTTTGTACATCCTGATTTTACTTGTACTCTAATAAATAACATCGGAAAACTAAAACAACGAATAATAAATATGCTAAAAGTTTCGAAAATGTGTCTGTGTATAAGAAGTATTTGATTCAAGATCAAAGTAGTGGCAAGTACATATTTTGCATGCATCCCTAGAAATGATAGCCAGTTAAAATAAATATTTATTCATATTGATAAGAACTTTTTCTAATTGACTGTTCAATGTAATCATTACATATTTTCATTCAGACATACCTGAAAATGCTATTATTAGGATAACTCGTAAAATACCACATTCTTTTCACAATCACATATTTAGGATATTCATCCACTTGATTGCTACATCTTCTTATGTCATTTATATTTTCCTCAAAAATGCATTATTTCCACACTAAACAACAAATTCCAGAAGTGCGATGTTATGCTGAGAAAGCTTTCTTTGATAGAGATTAGAAGTATTTCAAACAATAAAACAAAAACAAAGTTCTGTCAATTGGTTCAAAAAATCGCCGGGAATACTTTTGTTTTCCATTAGTGAAAGTAATTTATTTAATCACTTCATAATTTTCTCATGTCTATAATAATCACAAGAAAAAACATTACCCTCACAAATTCACAATTGAACAACTCTAAAAACAACAAACCCCAAAAATTATGTTTCACATTCAATTGTTCTGATCAGCTTTTTAATGTTTGTGCCATCATCGGTGCAAGTTTTTCCCAATATAGGGAAGGTAACCTGACTCCTGAACTGATACTTTGGAATACATATCAGGGTTGAAACCAACCAGTGAAACCAACTGCCATACTAAAATGCAACAAATACTGATCTAAGTCTGAGAAAGTTTAATCTAGCCAGCGTCAACTTGACATAGGATTACAAATGTACGTTAGCGTGGTGCATACTAATTTTGGTACAGAAGTATCAATACTATATTTTCATCTCCAGCACATGCAACATAAAAAGTGTCATGTATGCTGAAGAACACCTGTCTGCTCAACCTGTTGCCTGAAGAATTGAACCTCATTCCTGATTTACAAAATTTTAAGCTATACCTGAAAAGTGTCTCATTTGTCACACCTTTTATTCACTAGATGAGTATTTCCAACCCCTCCTAAATAAAGTTTTATTTCAAAATAATCTTCTGTACATACTGAAAACAATATTCCCATTTATGTATCCAATTAGGATGTTGGTATGTTTTTTAATGTTTCTACTTCGATGAAAATTTCTCTTTCTCAATTTGTAGTGACTTATTTCATGTTGTAAAACAATCACAGTTGATGAAATACACATCTATTCATGTATCTAGCCCGCTAGGGTATGGGGGAGTTGGTGGTCTACAGAGGACTTCTATCGAAAATATTAGAACCAAGCAAAACCGTCTAACAAAAATATCTTCATAAATTCATATTCAACCTTCCAGTCATGCCAAGGTCTCACATACCTCAGCAATCATAATTCTTAGAGATTTCAGTAGTGGAATAGCATACTGACCTAGGATTCCAGTATTGCTTCCTAACCAAGAAAGAAATGGACAAGTCAGACGACTCCCAAGTAGTAGGGAAAAAAACAGGTCAGTTCTTTTCAGATTCTGACAACTTGCACCAACAACAGTTGTGTACTTTTTGAATAATTGAGCTTTTAGGTCTGATCCATAAGACTACTAGGTTGATATTTAACTTTTACTACCAAATATTTCTACCAATGTTAAGCGAGCAGAACCACTTTGAATTTTTATATTAATTGTTAGGCCATAATTTTATGATAATTTTGTACTATATTACATCTAATGGCAATATTGTGGGTTCTACTAGCTTAACGTTAAACTAGCAGAACCCAACCACAGAATAAAAACATTTTGTTGAATCAGGCTATGTCATAATTTTAGGCTCCTATTGCCCCCTTTGGCCGATTTTCTGTATTTTTTTTTTAAATCAGTGGGTTCTGCTAATGTTAGCATTAAATTGGCAGAATCAAATCGAAATCCTTCCCTTTTTGGCAATTTCGAAATTGCAATAATTTCGGGTTCATTACATTATTGAACTATTTTTTGCTTTGTTATTTAATTGAATTTGTGAGTGATTGCCATGAATAAACACAATAAAAACGCAAATAATTTTTCAGAAATGTTCCATCAAAATAAGAGTAGATTTCTTCACTTATCACATGCACAAATTTCTATCATGTGTATGCGTGATAAGTACCCACGAGTTCAATTCGAATATGTAGCAAAAAATTATTCAACAGTGTACTGAAGGAGCCTAAAACATTGCAACTTCAAAATAGACAAAAACTGAATGATTTCTATTTGGTTCTGCCAGCCTAACGGTATGGCTGGTAAAACCCTTTGATATGAGCCTGAAATTTTCACCTTACTTTAGCTAAAATATATTTTTGAAGAATTATTTCCGCCTTCACCGCGTGTGTTTGAGGTTATCACCCAAAAATTAAAAATGAACCTAAAATTACTGCAAGTTCAAATTTTTCAAAAAGTGAAGGATTCTGATTCGGTTTTGTTAACTTAACAGTAAAGCTAGCAGAACCCACTGATTCTTAAAAAAAACAAATGAAAATCGGCGATAGTGGCAATGAGAGACTAGAATTATTATGTAGCAAGATTTAACAAAATTTTTTTTCAGCAGCAGAACTGAATACAAAATTTGGGTAAAAATAAATATACAAATTCAAAGTGGTTCTTTTAACCATTTTAGGTACATCAATAAAATGGACCTATACATAGACAAATGCTACCTGGGACTATAATTATTTGTGAACAGGTAGGAAAAGTCATTATAATTCAAACTATTATACACAAGATGCAAGATTGAGCCTCTAGGTTACTTTCACTAAGTAATTCATTTCCTTTATCAAAACCTAAAAAAATATTGGTAGTGAATGCCTCCATTAGAAATATTTACATATATTTTCCAGAGCCTTTGTTATTAAGAAGCTTTGCATTTATTTGCACAGGCGATGTTTAATTACAAGCCTAATTCATGTGTTACACCAAGTTAAAGTCGGAATTTATGCATTCAACGTAAGGAAAATATAAATAATAAATTCGAAAATATAAAAAAACGACTGTTGCTGCTCTTTTATGCTTTGGTACAACTCATACCATACACCTATAATATATAGGTACAACTTATACCTGACTCAATTCTCAGAACCCGAACAGGTACCTACACACAATAAATATTAGATTAATGAAATAGGTAGATAATATGTATGAAACCATCTCCTTTATATGGAGAAAACATATATACATATAAAAAGAAAGCAATATTCAAGAATTATGAAATTTCCCTAGGCAATAATAAGCTGTCACATAGAAAAATCTGTAGTCTAATTCTGAACATTAATATGCTGCAGGTCATACCTAGAAATAATGTATCTTCTTGAAACATCTAATTCCTACAATATTTGAGTTTTGATCTAACATTAATCTGGGGATTGTAACCTAGGTATGAAATTCACCACTCCTAGGAAAAGTGCCTTCATTATCTGTATTTGGGAGTTCTTTTAAAATTCCTCACACAATGTAGTAGAATGGTCTTTGATCATAATATATATGATACAATAATAGGTTCTGATGAATCAATGTAATGGAAAGTGTATCTTTTATTTACTTAGTAGGGTTGAATAGATATAAAAAATACTGAATTAATAGACACATTAGTAAAGAAAGTGTAATAAAATAAGAACTAAATGAAATAGTTACAATTTTGTTAAACACAACTCCCTATCCCAAGAACAAATATTATTGTTCTCCTTCCTGAAACTCAAATCATCTTGTATAGTAAACAAGGTATCTTAATTTGCTTAGACATACAAAAAATATTGGCAAACTAATAAACATCTGGGTGTGAACGATGAAAGATATAAGAATTATGAATTCATTTTTCATATGCTCCATACTTTTTTTTTAACTAACCCCACCCCTCTGGCATCAAACCAGGAGTTTATTTGGCCATAAAAATTTTAAAATCATTCGAGTCACTACATTTTACATTGATATTTTAGATTTAATTATGAATGATAGAATTACACTATATTTTTTCCTAAAGGACTGTTATAATTGTTGGTAATGAAATATTCGAGGAAAGCAAATTATCTAAGAAATTGGGCTGATGCAGTTCGAAGTTGGGACATGCGAATAGACTCGATACTTACATAGATCTTTAGAAGTGATCACAGGTTAGACTTAATCAGTTGTAGCTGATCCACAAAATTTAGGTTAACAGTCATTCCTAATAATATGTAATTATTAAAATCTTTTCAGTTTTCGAGCATATATATTTCATATATCTCTATTTATCTCTGGGGTTAAATTGTCGTTAAGAGTAAAAATTACATTCATACAAAACAGTATGCCCTTGATGAATAAATATACTTACTAACAATATATATGTGGATGTGATTGTTAAATAAGTGGCTTTTAAGAGATTTTATTGCCACTTTAGAATAGGTGGGCCGCCAAAGGTTGATGATCGCCCCAAATTTTGCGAGATTCACGAAAAACGTATAAGGATTCGTGAAAAAACCAATAAAAAAAATAAAATGTAATGGAAGTAATACCGTTAACTGTTGCTGGACGAACAAAAGTTGAAACCGCCTATTTGAATGGGAAGCGTCCAGCTAAGCGAGTGCCATTACACATGATCCAAGTATAAAGTAAAAAACAATACTTCAGCATGAATGAATTTCTTATTGATAAAGTAGACAAAGCATAAGATAAACTCACCCCGCCACCTCCTCTCTGTCCTCCAAATCTTCCACCACGTCCAAATCTTTCGCCGGGACCGCCACCACCTCCTCCATGGCGATCACGGTTGAAGTTCTTTTCTTGGACTTCTGGGACAGAATCATCGTTTGTTGAAGACTCTACTTTTACAGGGGCCGCCTGATTTTCCATTTTACCAGTAGTTAATAGATTTATAAATTGAATAATATAAACAGCACAAGATATACCACACTATAACACAGTCCAATCGGAAATGGCCGACTACAATTCTACAAAGTGCGCGTTAGTAATAAGCGTCGTCACTATCGTCTGTTGTCGTCTTTACTCGTCAGAGTTCGCTTGAAAGTGTCTCTTGCTGTCAGATGTCACTATCAGAATGTGATTTGATGTCACAAATCACAGAACTTAAATGGCAAATCATTTAAAGGCAAACGAGAATGCCAACTTTGTATAATTTCAAAGGGGGGTTTCGAGCACATCATTTAAGTGTGTGAGCATCCATCGTTGGCGAAGACTACATTTAAGACGTTTGGAAGGTGCATGGCATTACTAACCCAATCTGTATTTAAAAGAATCTCAAATTTGTTGTAATTTCTCGTAATTAGTAGAACTTACTATGTTTAGGTGAGTGGGAATTCGGGGGGAGAAACACCTCCCCCCAAAAAATGTATACAATAGAAAATGAGGAAGATTAAGAAGTTGAAAATATTTCTAGTTCCCGATATTTTCGTTTTCAGAATAAGGATAATAAAAATCACGTTGATATGACGGAAGCATCAGGTATTTCAAGGCCACAACAGTCACAAAAAATGAGTGAAGTAAATGCCAATGGAGACAAACGGAGAAAAAGGAAATATAATTCTATACAAAGGTGATTTAGCACATTTTGTGATCATGATGGAAGCTACTGAAAAATCGGGTAATGATATTGATAGATATTTTCGATTCAAAATTAGAATACATAGAGTTATAAATAAAATGGAAAATAGAATAAGTGTTGAGTTCACTGATAGTAAAAGTGTGAATTCATTTGTTTCAAATGAGATCATTTTGAAAAAGGGTTACCTTTTTTTATTTTCAGAAGAAGAACTAAAAACATAGTTTATACTCTTTCACACTGAATCATGGAAATGAGGACGCTGTAGAGTTAGGGATAACGGGAAAAATTTTTATTTGCCAACATGCATTTTATCAATCACCTTTTTGAAACCTATCATATAAGATATAATGTAAAATCCGGCTGCAAACATAATGTTTCTCGATCTTTAATGTATGGGCGTACAAAAAACAGTGTGAAGGCAAGAGCGGACATTCATTTATCAGGTGAAGCTTGTCATAAAGTTCAGAAGTACTATGTAGAAATTGTAATAGTGATAAACAGAAAATCAATAGTGAATAGTGCCCATGATTCATGAGACAAAAACTGATTAGGAAAAAAATGAGTTTTTCATAACTCAACCTTCTTTGAGGCAGTTCAATTATTTCTAGAATCATATGTGACATTTATAGAAACATACTGGATGAAAGAATTTACTCTAAAACGTTGAAAACGCTATCATAATTTTCACAAATAGAATTTGACAAATAGGCTCGGAATGAAATAATAATTAACCCAAATGGTCGAATTCCGAAACGTAGAAACGGAGTTATGATGAATAACTCTTTAGAGACAGCCTTGAAGATATGCTAGGCGGTTTTCCCAAATTTAGCCGGTCAATTCTCAACCCTTCGGTCCTCAACTCAACAGTGGTACAGAGGAACAAATTATTAAAACGTTTTCGAGAATCATTCTTTGAATCATCAGAGAATGTTCAACCAAAAGTACTTGACGGAATACTCGAATATAACAGATAGAAAAATAAGGACTCAAACTCAAGTAATGTCAGTGAGTACAAAAAAGGGATCTTTGCAACTCAATTGTCCTCTCGCATACTAATTATGCTGATATAGTTTATGGACCTTGTCTAGCACATGAAGGTTGTGCAAAATTGCAAAAATTGTAAAATCAATGCATTCGTTTTACAAAAGCGGTTCTGCCTCAAGCACATATCACCTCCCATATTAGGGAATTGCAAATTTTGAAATTGGATGAAACGCGTTTTGTTCACTACGTTTGTCTTGTCAACAACATCTTTGCTACTGGACGACCCAAGTATCCTGCCTAAAAAATTATTCGAAGGGAAGACATTCACAACAGATCACTGAGGAACATAAACAATAGATTTTCTGTTCCTATTCTATTCATAGTTCTTCATTTTTCGATGCATCCTTTTCTTAGTTATCACCTCATCTGCTGAATAATATGCCCTCAGAGTATCTCAATTTATGTGCTCCTACTCTGAAGAAATATCTCAAAGAGGCTATTCTGAATGGGCAGCTGAATTCAATAGATTTTAACAAAGTAATCCTGTCAGTTTGTTTGTATCATGTTTTTTACCTCTTATTTGGGCTTGATTGTTATCGTTTTGGATTGGCTTCTTGACAGTGACAAATGTCAAAGTTTGTGTTTTGTTTACCATGAAGCTGAATCATTTGAAAACCGATGTAATCCTAGTCTATATATACATATTATTGATGTAAAAGTAAGTTATGCGTTAGGTAATCATAACTAAGTATTTACCTGAGTATTTACCTGGAGTATATAAATATATGTGTATGTTTTAAAATATGTTTTTTCGTTAACTATATGTCGCACCCCTAGAACGACAACCATCAGAGGTTGAAACTTGTGCTAGCTGAGGAATAACGAGATCATACCTTTTAATGTGCGATTCATATCATGGTCAGTCCTCAGCAGAAAAGTCTTAATATTTTTGATCACGAGTATATGTTGATCATCTGTTTTGATATATAATATGTTTAAATTTAATGGCCCACCAAAATGACAGTATAGTTCAAAGAAAAATGTTTATCGAGCCGTTCTCTTCACAAACTATTAAATGTTTTTACAGTGATGACGAGTGTTTACCTGTTTCATACTCTTATAGCGTTCCTGTGAATTATATCTATTTCAATTCCATAACGAATATTCGGAGTACGAACTGGTCAGGAAAAAGTGATTTGTTCAATGGCTTTTGAAAGAAATTTTGTGCATGAAGAGTGCATTTTGTGAAGAGTTTATTTTGACGTTGATCACTTATAGAGTTCCCAATTAACGGAATTGTGACAAAAATGTATCAACTGCTGCCTCAAAATATAATTACATGAAAATCTGTGAAAACTCAATGTTTGACAATTATTCGAATATTTATTTATACAGCATTTGTTTTTTCATAAACTACACCTTACGATTTGATCTCCACAAACTTCCTAGCATTATTAATACATTACAAACTATTAATTCTCTTTATACTATTCAGAGAATAAACGTACTGTATTATCGATACAAATGTCCACCAAAGAAACTTCAGGGAAAACTCGTAAACCACCCTCAAACTAATTTTCAATTCTAAAACATTGATACCAACCTTGTTTACAACCATACTTTCCCCTTTTCTCCAGGTACCCCTTCGTCAATAATCGACTCTATTTGGCAACCTCCAATATAGTAACTGCGGAAAAAATAAACTTGAATTATTAACCTTCATGTTAGGCAACATACTTTACATTCCGACGCTATATGGTCATCATGTTTTTCAATTACACCAAAGTTTAGCAGGTTTGGTTTTATTAAACAGTGGTAGAGACAATGTCAACAAATCTGAAAGGTGAAAATGCAATAGCATCATTCAATACCAAAGATAAAACAGGCAAATATACGTTTATTTTATTATAACTTAGACTTTCACATACAATCGGCAGAAATAGTGTGAGGAAAGAAAAAGGTCCTATTACAAGTTTTTATTTGTTCTCATAGTACATGTTACCTGCATCAGACATTTTCAATTCAAAATTGGAATTGGCAGATTTTGATGTTTTTAGGAAGGATGGACACTGTTTTGAACAATGAAAAATCAAAAGGGGTGGTGGAGTATCAATAGCTACTAGAAAATATTTAAAAATAGGTATGCCGATATTATTGGACAATAAGGCCCAGAAGGAAGGACAGTTTCTGTCACATTTATTCTCAAAACATTTTTGTTGAAGGCACATTACATGTTTCTCACAAAAAAGTTACAGCTTGTGTACTTTGTATATTAATTGTTGAAAAAAAACAAGTTATGTTCCTGCCTTAGCAGTGGTATGGTTCCTAAGGCATTCTTGTATTTTGAAACCAATTTTGTATTGAATAACTTTCACTTTTATCTTTCACACACTAATAGATTTACTTTTCTCAATGCTTTACTAAAAATTGCAAATACAGGTTACAACTGACAAAACTGGAATAATGATATAATTTCTGACCTATAATTATAATATGATTCAAATAACATGTCTATGAGATAATCTACAGTATGAAAGATAATTCACAATAAAAAGCAAATCGGCATGGTAATACTCGGCAGAAAGCAAGTCAGCATAAATAAATCCCGGTAGATATTGGTTTTGCAATTTGTATGACTGTAGGCTGTAGGGTACGATTCAGAATTGTAAATCCTCCCTCCTTAAGATTAAGACCGGGGTAGGTCTGGTTGGCCAGGCTGCATATCTTCTATACAGGTTGGTTATATGCATCACTTTGACTGGTAATATTGCCATAGATTATATGGGTAGCAATTTTTATAGTAAAATGCTACTCCAAGGAATATGACAATGCATAAGAAATGCAAAAAAAAGATAATAGTCCATACAGGTATAGAAATAAGAGAACTTCCAGGATGGATATTCGGGTGATTTTCCATAGTACAGCTCTCAGTGATGATGCTTCATGGAGTGGAAAACATTTCTGATGTCAACTGGTTTGCCAAAGTTTTTTTTCGAATTGTACATGATACACTGAATAGTTTGCAGGCTCATTTTGGATAATTATATTCAATATACAATTTTTTTCTTCTAGTAGATAATTCTTGCAGTAAAAGGTGTTTTCGATCTCCTCACAGGCGTTGTCTTCATACTGGTAGAGTTCTTCACTCTCATTTGGGATTAGGTGAGGTTTTGGGGTAATATAATTTCATTATTATGAGAAGGGTAAATGAAATAGGTTTTGAAAGCCATATATTTCAATATTAAAAAGCGAATTAGAAAAATGATTTTCTCTATAATAAATACTGTTTGTATTCCTAAGAAATTGTAGTAACTATGTTGATTTTTAAACTTGACCAGTTGATCTTGGAAATAAGGAATATTCATTTTGTTGATCATTGAATATGAATTTGTCAGAGAAAGAAAATTAGGGTGTACTTTGTTAATATTTGCACATGCAATAGCATTAAGAATTTCATTGAGTTGTCTCTGGAAAAGTTATTGAAGAATGTATCAATAATTTCAAATGAAATATTTATTTAATTGACTTGATTCTGAACTGTTTTAATCAATCGAAATGTTATTAATATGTCAGATTTAGGTCGGTAGAGAGTTTCAATTTTATCAACATCTTTTCTTTTGCAAAGGAAATCTGTTCCTTCATGTTTTTTATCGAAAAAAATGCAAATGGTAAGTTAAATCCTTCATTAGACTTACTATGAATTCTTCAAGGTTATTATCAAGATGTCGTTTTCTAAGATTACACAGTATCTATTATTATTAAAAACTTTTTCTTTATTACATAATGGAACTGGGGAAGCTTCTTATACTCTTATTATCACTTGATGTTGTTGATGACTCAAGGTTTTTCAAAATAAAATGATTTTCAAATGTTTTCTTTAATGTTTCGAAAATATTTCGCTTCAATTTTTCAAGAATTTGAAATTTCTTCAGTTGGTTCATTTTCTTTATGGAAAAATAATTGTTCAATGTGGATTAATTCATAATTATTTTTCTCTTCATTCTCCTCTTCAACAGGTAAATTTATATCAATAAAATGAAGTTGTTCTCATCTAAAAGTTGGTCTTGATTATTATCAATTGACATAGTTGATTCTGTATTGTTTAAGTTCAAAATCGAAAAACTTTTTTAAGTTGATCTTGATCTGTTTTTTTGTTCTTTCCTCTTAATGGTTGTAAGTGGTCCTCTGATTTGTTCCTTTGTTGCAGTTTCAAGTCTGCTATTAATTAACCTAGTCCAAAATGAACTTCATATTTGTTACTACATTTTAGTCACCAATACGTAACTATTATTAGTGTCTCATCAGACTTAAAGTTGTGACATTGCAAGAATGTTGATCATTTTCAAATATATCTAAATTTAATAACTTGATTCGAACACCATTATAACTTATCAGACATTTCCATTATAATAATTGAGCAATTTTCACAAAAAAAATTATTCTAGATTAGTTTCGCTAACACCGTAGCTTCATCGGTAGTGATGAATAATTTCATTTGTGAAAATTGCTCAATCACTATCATGGATAGTGTTATTAACTTAATAACGGGTCAGTGTCTTCATAGTACCAGATATTTGTTTGAGTTTTTGATATCTATTTTTAAGTTATTTGAGTTTTTGATGTCTATTTTTAAGTTATTTGATTTTTGTATTCAGTTATTGGGTAATATCAAAAATAATAAAAAAACTGAAAATGTGTGATGTTATGCTGACGGTCAAATTTGGCATGTATCCTACAAAATCAAGCTGAAATGTACAAAGTATAATAATATTTTCGAAAACATCTTACCTAATTTACTAAGTATGCCATCTAACGATCACCCATGCAAACCACTCTGATTACAAAGTCAAGCGGTCTTAAATAGATGTCGACATTATCTATAGTTGGAGGAATCCCAGGATGTTGCAATAAATTGTCATGTGCAAATAAGTCACTTTTTTAGAGAAAAAAATTTATTCATCAATATAGGTATCCTTATACAGGGTGTAACTGAATAAGTGTAAAGCATTTAAGGAGGTGATTCCTCATCGAAAAAAAGATAGGATCTTTCATATAAAGAAACTTCATTGGAGCATCCCTTGTTAAGATACAGCCCCTTAAAGGGGGTACATAAAATTTGTATAACAATTTTTTTTCACAAGCACTGAAAAAGTTACAATATTGAAATTAACCTGACGTTTTGTACTACCAAAAAGACA